GACTGTACATACATTCCTAACTTGCCATTTAGAGAAATAATCCAAAATCAATTTGGGGTAATGGGGCACTGTTCTCATTGGGATAATTGAAACTATATTGCAACATATTCAACCAAATCTATGCAGAATCTGAGTTGACCTAAACAAAATTCTCTGAAAAGGTTGAATTGATAACTAGAGTGCATAACTGTGATGAAATATAGTTACAAATTATGCTGGGAAGGATTGGAGTGCATACCTGTGTGAAAATTGGGTGAGACCTGTAAATCTTCCTCTGCGTTACAATAATTTTCTGTGAGAGTGTGCACTTTGAGTTTACAAAATTATGGATGTCAAGTTAAAATTCTCTGAATGTGGTTGTTCAATTCTGTGCATCGTACTTTCATAAGTGCATATGGATATATCCTGTTCTGCTTAAATAGTTTTCTTTTGCTGAAAGTACAAAGTTTTGTTGAAAAAATTAAGTGACAATTTGAAATTAATCCTCTGCATTACCCTAATTTACTCTGATATTACACGTATTTTGAAACTGCAATTTAGAGATATCAATTTAAAATTTTGTTTTGAAGTTTGAGTGTTCAGTGCTGCATATTTGTACTTCTGCATCAGTGTTTTACACTGTCCTGACAGCTTGTTGCAATTTAACTTGTGTAAAATCAAAATTTTATCCTATAGCAGCAACTGATACTTATACCTCTGAACATACAAAAATTTAACTTGTCCAAGTGGTTCTTTATTGCAGAAAACTAAAAAATGGCCAGAACTTCAATGAATACACCAATTGGATCTTCTAGGAAGACTCAAGCTGGATCTTCCAACAACACTTCAAGGAGATCTTCCAGAAACATCCAAGCTGGATCTTCCAAGAGCATTCCCAGATCAAAGAAGGCTAGAAAAGATGGTGCCTCAGCTTCCTCACCAATTGAAGTATGTGATTCAAGGTTTAGAAGTATCGCCCATGAGAACTTCTTCAGGGCAAATATTCTGAGGGGAAAGATTGTCCTAGACAGAGCTTTTGAAATAGCTGGGGATAATTACCCAGAATACAAGGAAGAAATTCAAAAGAGGGATTGGGAATCCTTCTGTTCCTTAGCTGGAATGGGCCGGAGGGAAATAACCCAGGAGTTTTATGCCAATGCTGTGAGGTTCAAAGGAGACAAATTCCCTAATTTCAACACAATGGTAAAGGGGATAAGAGTGGACTTCACTCCTGCAAACATAAACAAAGTACTGAACATAAATTTTGCACAGCAGCCTGGACAGTTGGAGTTCAATGTTTTTAAGAATAGCCTTAAGAAATCTCTAATTTTGGTAGTTAATTCAGATTTGAGAATCAATTCCAATTCTCATTGGTAAAATTTCCTCTTTTATTAATCAATTGAATTTCCATTCAAAGATTACATTGACAACAGAATCAACCACTCGATTAATCTAAGAACTCAAAGTTCAGAGTCAAGAATCAAATCAATACATCTATTCCATATCCACAAACTCCTAACTTCGAAGAATTAAGCAAGCATTACAACAAAGAAAGAGAAAGGAGTAGAAGAGGAAGAACACAGAAGCATCATCTTCAATCGATCCCCAATCTGATCCCTCTAGGTTAGAGATCGATGTTCATCCCCAATCTTCTCTCTGACTATCTCTAAACGAATAAATGAAGTAAAAAATGAAAAATGAGCAAAAAGATCCAGAAATTTGAGCTTTCTCTGGTATTTATAGAATTCCTGCCTCTACGCGTTATCACAATGCTCCACAGGAGTGGCCACGCAGAGGCTTATATAGTTTCTGGAAGACTGGAACGATCACTTTTGTTGATAAAAGTGATAACGCAGGAGGTTGAGTAGTGCGCGTTTTCACTTTCCTGAGTTAAAGTGGTCACGTGCTAGTTGCCTTGGCACACTTCTCTCTGGAACATCTACTTTCGCCAGCAAGAGTAACCATGCGCTACTCGCTGTGTGTAAAGCTCTTCTGAAACGCTCACTTTCGCCAACGAGAGTGGTCACGCACAACTTTGCTGAATCGACAGCGAAAGTGATAACGCACAACGTGTTCTTCTGAGAAACTCTCTGGAACACTCACTTTCATTGATAAGAGTGACCACGCCTAGACTATATTCCATAATTCTTGTTCTTTGAGTCCAGAATTGCTACTATTCCTCTATCTTTCCAATGATCTTCCATCTTCATGAACTTTACTCAGATTATTCCTACAAAAACATGATTAAATTCTTAATTTCTAAACAGAAAATTCACAAATACTAAAATAACTATGTATTTAAAGAAAACGTTCAATCATTCTATTTTTATGAGTTTTTCTGCTTTTTCTAACATTTTTTTCCTTATCAAATGGGTTAAAACTACATTAAAATACTAGTAAAATTATGGATTCATCACTTCTGTGAATCCATAACTTTTCTAACATTCTATGACATGAACTGATAAACTAAAGCATGAATTAATGTCTGTGAATATTTTAATTTTAAAAGTATGTTTTATGAAAATAGACATATTAAAGAGAATAACCTCACTGGTTTCATGTGTTTTGGATGAGAAATGAATTTATTACAAATTTTCTAACGTGCTAGCAGTTTAGTGAATTAATCTGAGAACAACAGAGATGAATTGAAGTTTAATGATTTTTTTGGAAGTGTTTGAATTTTTATTGTAATTTTATATTACAGTAGACATTTAAAGGAAGAAAATCTTGTTGATTTCATGAAGTTTGGACTTGTATTGGATTACTTATGAATTTTACAATTTGCTTCATGAAATCTATAAATTTCTTATCAATAACCATGTCCTTGTGATTGATTGCTCTCTTGAAATAGAGATGTTATAATGTACCTGTTGGACAACTATTGGCTATGAAATTGTTGTGTTTGTATTTGTGATGGTGAAAGAGGTTGAATACGCCACAATACAGGCAATGAGCAAATAGTGTTAGTCTAACTATAGGAGATAGGAGAATACCCAAGACTTACATGGGACCAAGTCTAGCTAACTTGTGTCGTAGGCAGTGAGAACTTTGCTAGCCTATCCTGACAGGCACTAGAGCATACCGATATTAGTTTGAGTGCGGGCTGCTAGTAGTGATCATAAAATGAGAATTGTGTACTTATGTTCTGTCTCCGATAAAAAGAAAAGATATACCTATGACACTAGCCGGATTACAGACACAAAACTCCCAATCTCAACCTGAAATTAAAATGTTGGATAATTAATTAATTGCTCCATGGAGAACTAACAAACAAAAGACATTGAATGATTGTTACTTGATGCTTGAATGTTGTTTCATTCATTTAAGCAAATATATTGTTTAATGCTTGATATAATTGATGTCTAAATGACGCTTTATTCATTTAAACATGAGTATTGCCCATTAGGTTGTTTATGAATATCTGTACTCACCCCTATCTTTTTCTATGATATGTCCAATATGTATATGGATGCAAAATGAGTAGAAGTGTACCAACCACCCCTGCGCGTACCATGACCTTTAGTATTGGAACTGGGGAATGAAGTTTCAATGACTCTAACCAGACCATCATATTTCAAGGCTTTATTTCCTTAACTATATCTACTATCAATAATCCCTACATTAGTCTTACTATTATACAGGGAGAAGTTAGAATGGAGCTACCTTTTCCTGTCTGCCATGTAGCTGCATACCTTGGCATTAATCTCGATCCTCCTCTAGAGGGGTTGGATGAATGAGGAAGGAGTCAAGAGGAGAGGAGAAGTTTAGTTTATTTATGTATTATGTGTTGTATACTTCCCTAGATTGTTATCCTTCCTTGTAAGGTTTCATAGTTAAACAATTTGGAAAATAATTTAGATGATCTGTAATATTATATTATGTATATATATAAAGCATGTTGATGTGTATTCATTTAGAATTAAGTAGTTGATAAATGCTTTAATTTATTCCTTACTCATCATAAGAAATGGGATGATATTGAAAAATACCTATTAAAAATAGGGACGTCTCACTCTGCCCCACACTCCCATCACCACCACCCCTCTCCCCCACCCACTCCTATTCCTCCATCTACACCACCCCCTTCTCCTTCTCGACCACCCATTTCCCTCACCCCTTCCCCACATCCTTCTCCCTCCAACACCCACACTCCTATCTCCCTCCAATACTCACACTCATTTCTCACATCCGCACCACCCTTCTCCTTTCTCCACATCCATTTCTCTCCGACACCTACACTCTTACCACCATCCCCACCACCCTCTCCCCCACCCCAAACAAAATCCAACACATTAAACTTCTCTGCTAGCTCAACAGTGTCCACAACCATCTTTCTCACATCTGTCATGTCACCATCATTCTCATGGCAAGTTGGCAATATTGTGAGAGTGAGCGAGGGGGAAGGGGAGGGAGAAATTGCGGAGAAGAAAGAAAGTTAGAAAGACTTTTATGTAGTTATGTAAAATATGTTTATGAACTTATTTGTAAATTAATTTTAAATAAAAAATAATAAACGACGTGACATGCCACATAGGCTGTGATTAGGTCTCGAGATTGCCACGTAAAGTGATAAGTTAATTCTTTGTTAACTAGCTCAACACTTAATAGAAAGGAGGTTAACAGTAAGATTTAAATCCTAAATTTTTAACTTTTCAAAGACTACATCTTAACAAAAAATTTATAGAAACTTATCACAAAATGACTTACATTTATGAGGATCAATAACATATTTAAGCCACTATTATATTAATAAAAATTATTAACTTTTACAATAAGTAATTTAAAAATTATATTTTTTGTATACTAGTTAATTGTTCGTTAAATATGTTAATATAACATAATATGAAAATTAAAATAATTAATTATATACAATTAAATTTTTATATATTTAAAATTAATTCTAAGAAGTGAGGATGACAAAATATTTTGTTTTTTTTTGGGAACACAATTTCTCTTTCTTAGTTGGTAAGAAGATAGCGCGTTGGTTACATAAATTTACCCACAGCCACTCAGATGACAGCAAATAACATGAATGATTACACCCAACACAAACTAACTCAATCCTGTTCCGTTCCGTTTCGTTCAATTTTGCTTTTTTCCGCCGTTGCTTGTCACAAAATACATTGTACCATCCGAAATGTCGGTGAGTCTCAACCTTTCAAATCTTTTTTCCTCAGATCCACTGTTCGTTTCAGATCCTATCTGGGTTTCTTCTCTTCTAATTTCTTCATACCTGATTGTCTTGTGTTGCCTCAATGGCAAGTGGGAACTATACCATTACCTTGAATCTTCATTAATATTTATCTATTAACAATGAGTGGTTTAGATGTTGACTTGTTTTAGTTATGAATATAAATGCACTTCTTGGATTACTAAAAGGTGCTACTTTGGAATTTTGGATCTACAACCTTTGCTTTTGGATCTATTTGAAGTGGTTGTACTATTGTTCTTCCCTCTAAGAAAGAGCAAACTGTGTGTGTTGAATTGAATCATTTTTGGGATGTTTTGTTTGCTATTTGGACAATGTCCATCAATGGTTGTTAATGTTGATGTGATTTTATGCAGTTCCATTAGGTGAATATGTTTACAAATTCTCATGCCATTTGATTCCCCTCTTTTTAAGAGGAAACTATCCCATTCATTTGTTTCAAGTTAACAATTTATGTGCAGGCCCCTGTGGACCCTGCTGACCAAAGAGTTGAAGCTATTCCCCTATCCGTAGCTACACCAAATTGGACTATTCATGTTTCAGATGTGAGGGAGAAAATTTTACTTTGTTTCATTGGTTAGCATTATAATTGTAGAATACATGATCCAGCAATTAATATTATAGTTCCAGTGTGAATTCCTGGTCACAGCCATATGAGTTTGCCCACCTTTAACACTAAAAACTGTGCCAGAAATAATAACAGCATTTGAAAACTACTGATAGATATAGTTAAGGTATTAAAATAGAAATTACTTCACGAAAAGTTGAAGCATTTAATAGCTTGAAAATCCCAAAAGCATTTCATTAGGATACACATTTACTAAACAGCCTCACAATTATTAGATATTCCAATGCTAATTCCAAGTTCATACAACTAGGGACCCAGAATGACTTGAATACTATTTCATTTTTGTTTTGTTTTGTTTGGCAAGTTGTGTTTTCTGATATATTATAATCTTGGTTACTTTATTATCTGTTCCCTACAATCCTTTGTTGATATTGTATTAGTGACAATGATAGAACTGGTATAGAATTACTGAAAAGAACTTCTGAATTATATTAAGAAAACCCTAATTCCCAGACCAGTACCAAACTGATAGTGATTTAGAATTAAGTGAAGGAATTACATAGGATTACAACTGGAATTATTCGAGAGAATCCCACTCTCCAAGCCTTCCCAGTTACCAATTACAAAAACATAACTACTTCATTAATCCATCACATGACTATTTATAATGATACTAATACAAAATTACAGTTGTCATAATCACTAAAACGGCTAGTTATTGAATTTCCTGTTTATTCCCTTCCTCTTCTTTCTATTGTACACTTTTGTGAACCTATCAGACAAATCCCTTCATGGTGAAATTTTCAAGTTTATTCCATTTGGGTCTCTTACAGATAAGAACAGTTAAGGTTAGTAACATATCATTGATTACTTCCAAGAAGGACATTGAAGAATTCTTTTCATTCTCAGGTGATATTCGATATATTGAGATGCAAAGGTCAGAGCACTTGTAACGCTATATTCATTTCTTGTGATCATTATTGTTTAAACATTTACACAAATTTCACCCTTCTCTTTGGTTTGTAATTCTACAGGGAAACTGATCGCACTCAGGTTGCTTATGTTACATTTAAGGATACACAGGGAGCAGACACAGCAATTCTCTTGACGGTATGTTTTTGTGCAAATAATTTTTGCTTCAAAAACTTTGCAATTCATAATAATGAATGGTTTACCAATGTGTCTTATTAATCCTTTCAATCCCTGAAAGTGATAAAAATAACATAAGAACACATACTTTTAGTTGATTTGTTTTTTTTTTTTTTAAAGTGTGTACTTAATCTTCAATTTTTTATTTAGGGGTCCAAAATAGGTGATCTTTATGTCACCATCACACCTGTGGAGAAGTACCAGCTTCCGCCTGAAGCTCTTCCCTCAAGTCCAGTGAGTAAATTAATCGTTAATTTAAATTCTGTCTTATTTTGCACATGCAATGGAGTTCATCATGCACCACTGTCTTGCTACTAAATTACTAATACATTTATATGATAGTGAAATGTGCATACGAACACTTTCTGAACTTGGTTGTGCGATGCGTCCCAATCGATTGAACTTTGCCCCGTTAAACCATTTTAGAATAAGTTTAGATTAATAACTAAAGCTAAATAGCTATACTGTGGGAGTTGTATTTGGTGCTCAAGTGAGATATAATGTAAACTGTTCTAATTGAACAGGATTTCTATATTATTTTCACACTATTCTCTCTAAGGAATACACTAAAAAGAAACAGCAATGTGGAACAGAATAACAGCCTAGATACACTCCTAGAAGTTATAAACTAACTAAAAATGTGATAACTTAACAGCTTAGAAAAAATAATTAATATAATCAACATAAACATTGTTACTATACAGATTTGAAGGGGACTTTTAGATCATTTAGTTAGATCTAGATGCACAATCTCTAAATGTGTATCCTATTTCTTTCTCTCCACTGCATTGGTATTTCTTTACTGTCATATTCCAAGTACCTATAAATTTTCTAATCTACATTGTACAATGCTCTCTCAATAGACAAATGAAAGTGTTGCTGCCATTAAGAAGGCTGAGGATGTAATGAGCACCATGCTTGCTAAGGGTTTCATTTTAGGAAAGGATGCGATCAACAAGGCAAAATCCTTTGATGAACGTCATCAGTTGACCTCAAATGCTTCTTCCACAGTTGCTTCCATTGATCGTAGAATGGGTTTAAGTGATAAACTAAGTATCGGAACAGCTATTGTCAATGAGAAGGTGAGAGAGATGGATGAAAAGTATCAGCTTTCTGGAATGACAAAGTCTGCTATTGCTGTTGCGGAGCAAAAGGCAAGTAGTGCGGGATCTGCTATCATGAGTAATTCTTACGTATTAACTGGAGCTTCATGGTTCTCTAGTGCCTTTACTGCTATTGCAAAGGCAGCTGGGGATGTCAGCACAATGACCAAGGAGAAGGTTGAACAAGCTGAGGGGGAAAGGAACGAGATCATTTACAATGAAAGGAAAGGAACTGTTGATGGATTTGCAAAGATGCAATTTGAGGAGTCTTCAGCTGTGGGGCCTGCAGTAGTTCCTGTTAATTCAGATGATGATAGTAAGCTGGCAATTATGTAATGAGTTAACTCACAATCCTTTACATGCACAGTTGGATTATTTAGTTAGCATAATTATTTTCAGACTTCAGTTGCTGCAAGTTTGATGTAGGATGATAAATATTGTTGATTGTTATAGTGATGCAAAGGTTTGTCTGACAGGTGTGATTCATTATTATGGTCAACATTCATGTAAAATAGTTATTTGTTATTGTCTTTTTCTATTTTTAACTTGTTGAGTTTCTTCATTCATTTCTCTCTGTACTCATTTTTGTTGGAGGGGTTTTAAAATGACCATTATCATTTATATAATTTAATTTTGCAGTCTATGTTTTACTGTCATCATTTTCCTTTACAATGAAAGAAAGGTTATATAACTCTGCTCTTCACATCTATATTTGTCTGTCTTCTTGCTTTAGATTGTTTTTGAATTGCAAGTTCTTGAATTCTTAGGCTCCTGATGACAGCTCAGTTGATGGCTTCAACGCTATGAAATTTACTTTAGTTTTCCTTCATTTTTGCTTCCTCAGGCAACAATAGTTTTATACATGGCTCAAATTCTTTGTAAACTTCACAAATCACAATTGTTTTATTGTAGTTTTAACAATTGTACGTCTCTTGGCCCTTGATTCTGCTACTGATATTCATCTGCAATGCTTGTTGCATGCAGCAATACACATAATTGTCATTCTGTGATTAACCTAAAGGCGGTAATTTTCTGTATTAATGTCGTTTAAACCTGCAGAAGCTAACATTGCTCTCTTAATTAATCCCTATACATATCTTTGGAAATAAATTTAATATAAAATCTAAGCATTTTGGACCATGGTGCTTTAATGCTGTGTAATTAATTAAAATTCAAAAAGTGACCAAATATGATAGAAGTCTGGAGGAATTGACAAAAGATAGTGTCTGTTTGAAGAAAGAATCATGTTTGATGCAAGTTAAACTTTTGTAAAACCCTGTAATATATTTGTAGGTCATTAACAGTTAGCACCTGAATTTTCTGCCCCTTTGTTAGGTTTTCACAGATTCCAAAAAATGTGTATAAATTTTTCTCTATGTCAATATACAGACCAGGCAATATAGTTAGTTACATGGGAAAAAGAATGGAATTTCCTTCCTCTCAGGTAGGCAAACTCTCGGAATTTATTTAGTTTTAACGATGAATCAGCCAGGCAAAAGAAAGCTATATGTCTTCAAATTGTTCGGAATGATCGCCACTAAACCGAATGGTATAGCCAATTGTCTCCAACCCGACTAGTATGTTATCATAGATAGCGCAACAACCACTCCAGGCTCTGTTGAAGTAAATAAAACATCAAGTTTCATGTTAAATACATGAATGATGCTAATAATTGGGGAAAAATTGAGTGAGAAAAGGATATATTTAATTATAATTGCTGTGAGGGGCTTTCCTCGGCATTACAATCGAAATGATTAATTTCATAATGCTTGTGGGCTTTTTCATCATGACATTTCAGGTTGATGTTTCTTCTTTTTACTGGTTTTAACCTCAAACCAAAAGAAAAAGTAGTGTGACAAAATTACAATAAATAGGACTATCATACCTCTATGCATTCATGCAAATTCTCATCTTTCGATCTAACGTGGATCTGCAAAATCACAAGTTAATTATCAACATGACATTCCATTCACAATCTTTACTCGAAGGTCTATGGACATTACAGGAATCCAGTCCAAAGAAAAATTGAAACATTGAGCATTCAGAAAAGGCACCCACAGCCCTGCAGGTATGCTAAGTGTTTTCACAATCTAAGTGCAAATCATACCATTGAAATACCATTGTCCTCCATTTTGATCAATTGTATTTATACTAAAATTACAATGATGTATATCTGTTTGCTTCAGCTATTAGTCGTTTATTTTTGCTAGCTCTATAAAACAGCTTTTGAAAAATAAACGATTATATTTTAAAATCTATTACCAAACATAGGATCCAAATTAAACTGAAGCGTGTAACCCTGTCATTTAATATCCAAATTAAGGTTTACCACCTTGACTTTGATGTCGCATTTAATATCCAAATAAAGCGTTAGTTCTGTATCGCAATAATAATTACCCCTATCACTTTGTGGGATGCATTTTGATTGACTTCAAGACAAGCAAGGATTACAAGTGCTGCAGCAACTGTTGAGGGCCAGTAGCACAGCCGCTCATGAGCTGACAGTGCCAGCACTGCAAGATACTTGACCCTCTTCTCTATGATTCCATCAGCATTAGCTGCTTTTAAGTAAAACCTGTAAAATTATAAGAGTGTGCATTTTAGATGAAATTATAAACAAAAGGACTAGTAGAACTCAATTTTCCTTGTCATGCAATAGCGGTCTAAGTCTTTCTTAGTGGTGCTATGTGATGTTACGGTTACAAAATTTTCTATTGATATTTAAATTATTCAGAGTTTTATGGCAAAAAAACAAATCCCTTAATATAAAAATAAAAGCATAAGGCTTGGCTTAAGCCATTCATTTTAAAATTGAAATTGTTTCCCTGTAAGAAAGAAATTTTCGATTATGGGTATTACCTAATCTTTATGCAGATTTTCAGATCATATTCGTGCTGAGAGTCCAAAAAAATAAAGTATACCACAGGAAATTGTAGATGGTAGGCAGAAAGCACTGAAACTTGAGCACGTCCTGCACCATCCATTCCATAGCTACCACCTCCATTCTACTGTATACACTGCTTCCTACGTAGAAATATTTTTGCCCCACTCTGTAGTGCCAACAAAAGAGTTTCAGTTATTCATTTGAATATAACTTCGATGAATTTGATTGAAATAAAAAAATGTTTAATTCCGTTGATTCTCACTTCCCAAAGTTATACGAGAGGCATGCATTTATCGATGTATAGAGAGTTAAATACATTACGAGCGGGTGTGACTCACTTTTTAACTCTATTCATGGGATATTAAACCTTACAAAATTTAGTATTTTTTTATTTTAACCTAAATTTCAAGGGAGCCAATAAGTTACTGAACAAATTTATGTAAAAAATTTGATAGTTTGAAACTACAGGGGTATTTGTAATTTAACCACACAATGCATGATTAACGAGGATAAATGAACTCGAACTGCAGTAACTAAAATTTTAATCTCAAGACCGTTACTAGCCAATCAATTGACATTCGGGCAATCCAAGACCGGTAAAGAGACAGATGGTTACATTTTTAACCAAATAACTAGGATGTTAACCCAAAAAAAAAAAAAACTAGGATGGGAAGAAATGTAAAGATTAAAAGATGGACCTGTTATATTGCTGGTTTTCTTCGATCCTGGTCGCTAACGTGAGGCAGGCTATTCCACCAATTTGAAGGTTTCTTTTAGCTTTGAAGTATCCTTCGCTTAGGAAACGGTCAAGTAGGTTGACTCCAAGAAACATTGTCTCTTGTCGAAGCTGTTTTCGATAAGATTGCTGCCAAATTTCAAAGATGAAGCATTTTAAACAGACTCAACTAGCAATTCAACGACCAGCAACTTCCACAGATGCAGCATTTTGATAGAAAAAGTTGTGAACTAAATGTAAATGGGGGTTCGCATACAATATTCTTTTTAAATGTTTGTTGGCGGAGACTGAATATTGGTTAGCAAAATATATAAGCTCTATATAGCTAAAAAACAATTATACATTCATGATTAGTCTCGCTGTCTGAAACAGGAGCCAGGTGCATCTGTCAAAAGGAAAGTATTATGGTAATTACATCATAAAAAAATAATGACAACGATAAAATAACAACATCAAGAATAAATTGACACCACGACAATTGCTGATGATGGATACACCGAAATATTTTCGCACTTTGTAGGATGTTCTAATAATAAAACGACAAGATAATATTATACATCTATTTCACAAAAGGGATGCGAAAACATTATTACTCTTCAATTAATATTTATTTATAATGTCTTTCTAATGGAAATGTCAAATTAATATTTATATATAATGTCTTTCTAATGGAAATGTCGAATTAATATTTATATATAATATTTATTTATAAGATTTATAAATTTTCTTATTCGTAATTTTTACATTTTTTATTCATTAAATCAGTCATTTTATAAATTTGTATTCTTAATTTAACTAAAATATATTGATAATATAGAAAAATGTATACTATAATTTAATGTCAGTAAGAATAATTGACTTTTTTTAAAATTACAATTACCATATATTTTAATTAATTAATAATATAAAAAATTTTACACTCGCTATACATCAAACAATATATTCCTTTTCCTTATCTATTTTATTATTGTAGAATAAATTATTAAAAAAACACGTGTCACTTAAATTAATGATGCGACTTGTGTAATTAGCTAGACTTTGAATGTTAGCAATTGGTTGGGGAGAGGAATAACCAGAAGTAAAGAACTTCTTCCCATCTATGGTAGTTCTCTAACTTCTCTTCATTTTTTTTGCGGTCAAGTAAATGGCAAAGCCAAATCTATCTTGGAGAACCCCAAAGGAACTACCCACATGCACGAATACGAGAAAGTGCGTTGCGTCAGCGTGCCCGACGATACAGGGATCACTAACGTACGCATCGGTCATCCAAAAGAATCTGACGTGTCACGAGACAATTGGAAGCCAGTAACCATAATCCAACAACTGGATTGTACACTGTTTACTTTCTAACTGAATCAGGTTTGGTCCATATCACTCTTCAAACGTGTTCTCTCTCGGGCAATCGAAAAACGAAAACACAACATATAATATTTTGGTCTAGAAACAACTTAATACAGAACGATTAATTATATATTTCTAAATAAATAATTAAAAATAACTAGTAGCCAATCAGCAAAGCATAAATTGGGCTTAACCCTGTTACATTTTCAATCCTAGCAAATTAATTTGTTGGGGCACAAAACTATATAAAAGTGAATTTCTATATAAAACGGCATGATCATCACTGTCGTTCTCGTAATAATAGGCTTGGAATTAGTTTTAGAACAACCTACCTCAACCATCCAGTGAACCATTTGCTCGCGTTGCTGAAGCACGATCTCTCCGAATTCGGTGGTAGAGAAATATCTTTCACCGTAATTCCACAGGAAGACATGTCTTCTTTCTCTCTTTCTCAGCATCTGGTAGCTCTCTTCGTCATCCGAATCTTGGAACCTCGCAAACTAAAATCAGATATATGAACCGAAAATAACAACTCTGAATAACAAAAACGAAACGAGACTGCACATATTTCTAATAGGACTAGTAAGTAATTTCAAATTCTGAAGAAGCGAAAGCGAACATACTTTGACTCGAAGAGAAGCCTCATTGAGGATGTTTGGAGAAGCAATAATAACTGGTGAAGCGAGAGTCAAGAATTCCTGCCGGTACTTGAGGAACAGCGAGTACGTCGGTGAAGGAGTTTCTCCAACGGAGCCCTCAGAAAATTGGCTTCCAGAGTCCATGAACAGAGATGGAGTGTAATCTGAAAGCTCTAGCTGTGAACATTCTGGGAAAATATCAGAGTGAAGGTCAGAGAACACAGTTCCCTGGCTGGAGCAGTACTCCGATTGGTCGTCGCAGTACGAAAATCGCAATTGCTCAGAGCAAGCGAGATCCGAAACGGCGTCGTAGTTATTTGAATCCTGCTTTATCATTGATTGCGCTATTAAATCCACGCAATTATCCTGAGAGTATTCCGATTCCGATGCTCTGTTTACCTTGCCTCTGTTCTTTTCCCCCTCAAATGACGCCGCACGAACACCGCAACTCAATGAGACGACGTCGTTTAGATTTAAATCGGAAGACATTTTGAAATTTCCGTTACCGGACTTAGAATTAAATTGCTCCTCCCAAGTAATCTCTGATTTAGCGCAAGCTTCCGAAACGTCGTCGTTTTCTTTCGCATTCTTACTTTCTTTACTGCTCCTGAACTTCAATACCAAGCTTCTGCTTCGTTCGTGAACTCTAGAATTGGAATCCACGCACGACGACTCTGACACCTCCTCGAATCTCCGATTCCTCGAGGAATCGCTTGAGGTTCTGTTCCTTGAGTTTGTCTTTCCCTTGCCGGTGAACACAGCGGAAGCTATGCTGGAATTGCATGAAACTTCACAGGCTGCAAAGTCAGAGCCGGAGCTCGAATCGATGGAGAAACGAGGATTGTCGCCTGAAATGCCGACGAGAAGCACCGGCGAGATCTGGTGCCTACGCCGGCGAGGAAGCTTCGACCGAAGCTTCTTGTTAATGGTGCGCGAAGGTGGTTCAGGATGGAGTTTACGCTTCAATTTTCTCGATCGGGTTGTCATTGTTGTTTGATTACCGAAAAACGCTGAGAAAATTCCAGCGTTGAATCGTAGCAGTAATGATAGTGTGTGGGAAGTGTGCTTCAAGCTGGGACGGTTACGGGAGTTGTGGGATTGAAGAAAAAACGAGGGAGAGGGGTATTTATACGGTACGGTCCCACGTAATGCGTTTTCCGTGCACCACGTCCACACTGTTGATATCCTGGAACTAGAACTGATACTACTAAGAGTTGTTCGGGAAATTCATAAATTATTTTTTTAAGTGTTTTAATTTGATAAATACTATTATTTTGGGTTATATAAGTGATAGTTTAGAATTTGATGATTTTGCGATAGTAATAACAAGTTGCGAAATGTACATTTGCACGACCTAGAACCCAATTGTTTAAGAAGATTGTTACAGTTATTTTGAATGGTTGATACCAAAACACATTCGGCAATCATTTGATTTTCGTTGCAACTGTAAAATAAAATATCTTCAATAACGTATATTTTGTTCTACCTTAACTTGCTCTCGAATTTAAATTTGAATATGAATATATATTTATTTATTTATTAATGTTAAAATAAATATAAATTCATTGGAATATAAATTTAAAATGCTATTAGTTCTTATCTGTTAATTTATGATGAACTGTAATATTTATTCTTTGTTATAATTGGAACTTAAAAAAAAATTACATTATCATTAAGAACGTTCGCAAGCTGGATGAATCTAAAAATCAAAGAGTGGAAAATAATTAAATTATAACATTTATAATTATATATATATATATATATATATATATATATTAAAGGTAACTTTTCTTATGTTTAATAATGAAGAAAATCAATTATTTATTAATGATATTAAATCTTACAAATATATTTAATTATATTAATAAAATAACACAATTACATATATAATTTTAGTAAAAATATATTTTTGGGAGAGGGAGGGATACGCTCTTGCTTACAAGTTTTATCCTTGCAACTTTAGAACATAATTCTTCTTATCTCTTCATAATTTATCCTCAATATTTCAAAAATATTCACCATATCTAGTTGTGTGACCTGGATCGGTTCCGAATTAAATTGAATGAAAAACTAAAAAAATAAATAAAAGGTTAATGCCGTCATAGAATATGTTGTTTCGTATAACTAATTAACTACTCTGCGTATCACGTTTACACACAGATTATAATAGTTATAACTTTATAAAACAACAATTCATTTAATTTTTTATATAAATAAGATGGCTAAGAAATGTAAAGTCATACTAAAGTAATAGATAAGGGATTAAATGGATATTTATTCTCGAATCAGAGACTTTCTTTGTAAAGGTTCAAAGTAATTGGTTTTTATTGATTAAGAAGTGTATTGGGTAACAGGAAATGGTTAGTGTGACAGCAATGGGCATGTAATAGATAAGAGAGATAAAGTGCATTATAACAGAAGATCACACGTATAACAGAAAGAGATAAATATACAATCCTAAGAGAATACTCCAAAGGTGTGTGGCGGTGCAAACAATGGTTTCGTGAGAAGATGAACAAGCTGATGCTAAACAATTGCTTCTTTCATTGTTTATTGCTTCTTGCATGACCGTGAAATAGATTATGTAGGCAGTGTTAAACTTACGGTCACAGAATAAATGTTACATAGTTGAAAGAGATATGGCTTACGGAATTAAATGTTCTTTACAATGGTACTACACTGTATCTACAGGTTCTATCATCCCCATTTGTTAATAAAATATTATTGGTTGATTCTTGACATTTTTATTTTTTCTATACATTTTTATTCTTTGACACAAATTGCATTAACTTCTGGTGTTTAATTTTTTTTTATTTAGCTTTTCATTTATAAAAAGTGGAGTAGTGAGAATTTTGCAAATTGTTTATTTTAAATTTTTATTCTTTTTTTTCTTCACTTTACCTCAATATTAAAGACTAGTTTATCAAGTTAAGTTCAATAAGTTCAAATGTCTTCATTATATTTTTTATAAATTTTTTTATCATTGCTATATTACTCTTTCTAATCATTATTAATAGGTGAATTAGTAATCAATTATGTTGTACTATATTCAAGAAATTTGCTTTAAATCGTATAAAATCTTTCTCAATCATAATACTTTGTCTCTAATGTCTTTGCTTACAAAATTTTGTGGTTGCCCAATATAAACTTTTTATTGTACTCCATTGAGAAAATTGAACTTGATATCTAGTTTATAAATATTCTAACTTTTTTGTATCACAATAGCTATTAAGACTAATTGTATCTAGACAAGCTATTGAAAAAAAATGTTGAATTATAATAAAATTTATATTATTGAAAATATCCCTTAACTATTAGTTTAATCTTGTGCTTTTATAAAATACCATTAAGGTTGAGTTTTGTCTTATAAACTTATTTCACCCTGATAATATCATTAGCTTTTAGATTGTCTATTAGCTTCCTATGTTATATTTCTCAATTATGACAAAATTATATATATATATATATATATATATATATATATATATATATATCACAAAGTCTCGTTGTAGCGAGAGAGATTCTCATGTAGTTAAAATGATAAATAATAAAGAAAAATTACTGTATATTTTTTTCGCTTTAACAAGGAAGTCACAAATTTGAGAGGTATTTAAGGGTTTTCTAATTATAATCTTCCATTACAAACCAAGTTATCATTTCTCTCTGATTTCTCATATCTTTTCTCTCTAAGAAACCTCCCTTAAATCTCGATCCTCTCTTGAATCCAAACTTGGATGTTTGTTCCCATCAACTCTAAGTAAGTTTGGCAGAGCTTAGTTTTCTGAACTCTGTTCTATTTTTCTACTTTCTCTCTTCTTAAAAGTGCTCTCTTTTTGTTATATATAAGAAAAATCTTGGTCCTTGGATAGTATCTCCTATCATAACATTGCGTTTGTGAACATACAATTTTGTCCGTTTGATTAATTAAACTGTTTAAATATAATTTTTGGATGCGTATGTTAGTCCAAAATAAGAATTATATTTTTAAATAGGATCTGTAACATAAATAATTTTTAAAATGACATAAAATAAAGAAAATAAAATTACAATAAATAAAATACATATAAAATAAAATAGAAATAAAAATCCTCTTCTAAAAATAATTCAGTAATATTTACTTTAATAAAATTCATAATAACATAGTAGAATAATATATTATTCATCTTATAACAGAAAAACAACAAATTAAGATAAAAATAATGTTTTGTACTTGAAAATCTCAATATGCAATTTTAAATCTGCATGTTTCCTTAATTGTTTTCTTCGTTTTAATCTTATCCTTATATATATATATATATATATATATATTCATCAATGAAATTTCACTTATTCTCTATTAACATGACATAATTTTGTATGTTTCAATTAAAACAATCTTTTGATTACAATAAAAATCCTATTTCACAATAACGTTGGGATGTTATTATTTTTCCCTTTTCTTTTGTTATTAAAAAGTTGTTATAGAGATAAATATATATTGTATTAAGTTATCTTGATTTTATAAAAAACTAAATAAATAAATTTTACTTCAAAAGTAAAAAATTTAAATAAAAATTCTTGATTATAATTTCTTTTATGTTTTTTTTTAAAAGCAAAATGAATAAATAATTTTTTTCTTCACACAATAATTAATAATTATGATATATAGATCACTTTAACATTCACATACAAGAATTTTTGTCAAATTTTATGATAAAGTAAATAAACAATTTTTTTTTAAAAGTTAAATACAAATAAAATTCCTCAATAACAATTTCTTTAAATTTTTAAATAAAATATAAATAAATTATTTTTTTAATTCATACAATGATTTATAATAATAATGTATAGATTACTCTATCATTCGTATATTATAAAAGCAAAGGGTATTAGTTTAGCTATGCTATCTAATATCCTGTATATGTGAATTTTCTAAATGAAACAACTAAATATAATGATGTATAAATTGCTCTATCATTCACAAAGTATATGACCATAAAAATATTATTTTTTATAAAACTAAAAATAAATCTTTCTCTAAATCATTTTAATGCCCTTAAAGGGCAATTTCCATTTTTCAAATACCTTTCAAAAAGGTAATTTTTTTTTCTTTAGAACTACGTAGCCCTGATTTCCTTAGAGCACTAAGGAATACGTAAGAGCAGGGATCATAACCTATTGGGTCCAATTACTTTGAAACCATTTTTTCTTCCTATTATTTAAAGAATATTGTAACATCCTCATTTTTTCTCTCTTCCATGTTCACGTGTGTAATGCGATTGTTCCTTTTTTCTCAAAGATAATTCAATGTATTTTACAAAATTTTATGATTTTATTTAAATAAATTTTGAGATAAAAGTATTTATCTTATTTCGTTCAAATAATTCATTGGTATGTGTTTATTTTTTTTATGGATCTCAATGTTTTGGATTGTTTAGAAATCCTATAATTATATTTGAGTTGCAAATGTTATACAAACCAACAAAGGTGGTGCAATAGTAGAAGGGTTAGTTCTTAGTCTGGAGTTGAAAGTCTCTAAGTTCAAACCTCAGCAAGGTAGATTTTGCTTTAACAAGGTTTTTTAGAATTTTAATTCATAGAATGAATCGCAAAATGATATGACTGTCCTCAAAATATCATGCATGCATGAGATAGGTGGCAAAACCATAAGATAGGTGGCGATAGGTGGCAAAACCATATGATAAGTGGCAAGACCTTGCATGCATGATGCCATGTGTCAGCCACGTGTCAAAGAAGGAGAAGTCCTTGCATGCGTGATGCCATGTATCAGCCACGTGTTGAAGAAGGAGAAGCCCTTGCATGTGTGACACACGTGCAACCATGTGTTGAAAGGTGGCAAGATCATCCTTTGCATGAGTAACACATGTAGCCATATGTTGAAAGGTTGACAAAACCAAAATTTATTCTTTCTCCCGCCCATAAAGCTCTCTCACTCTTTTTTTTTTTTTTATTTCTATCTTTCTCACGGTTCCTCTCTTCTTCCTCAC